CGGCCTCCCCTCTGCCAAGACGGCAGCCGTTCTGAGAGTTAGAGGACTGGAGTTCCAATCTCCATCTTCCAGTAACCAGATGAGTGGTTTGGGGGATGTGGCCTTGGCTTCCTCCTCTGAACATGAGCCTTGGCACTCACTACTTCTGGAGCCAGGGCACACGTGCCCCAGACTGAAATAACTAGAGCCCGATTTGGGGAATCACAGATTTACAGCTGGGCTTGACCTCACAGGTCATGGAGGCCCTCAGCCCATGAAGAGGGATAGGGGCGGAAGAGGGACGGGGCCTGGCCAAGCCAGGAGTGGAAGGGGTGGGATTTGGATCCTGGCCGTCTCCGGCTGCCCCGCCCCTTCTTTTTGGATGTCCACCCAGAGGCTGCCCCGAGTCCTGAAGCCGCTGAGGATGTGGCTGCAGGGTCGTGCGGGCACACCTGTCCTTGACTTTCACAGGGGTTTGCAGGGGGCAGGGAAGACTCTCCTGAGTTTCCCAAGTGTCTCTGTCCCCAGCCCCCAATGGCACAGAGAAGCTACGGACAGGGACCTGTCAGGGGCCAGCTGCCCTTCCCCCGACCTCCCAAGCTTCCCTGGACCATTCCTGGGGTTCCTGGACGCTGGCTTCCTTTGGACAGATCAGTGACTTCTGTGTCTGGGTCTCTGCCATTCCACTTATCTGATCTCCACCATTCTTGCCTCTCCCTTTATTTTGGAGACTCCCAGTTTCCTCCATCCGGACACTGGCCCCACGGGTGCCTTGGACCCTTAACCTTAACTCTTCAATCCTATCCCCTAGAGAGATATGACCCACTAAGGAGCCGTGAGGCCTGGCCTGAGGGAGACCAGGAGGCCCTGCTGAGCCCCCTAGCAAGCAAGTGCGTGCCAGTATTTATCCCTCATCTACAGGTACCAGGCATGTGCCAGGCTCCCGGGGATGGAGGAAAGCATGATGAACAGCCTGTGCCCACAAGAACGTTGCCTTCTGCTGGGCCGTTCTGACTGTTCCCAGAGAAGTCAGCAGAAAGTCACCGGAGGTAGGAGGGCCTTCTGACTGGGGAGACCTGGAAAGGCGTCTCCTCCAAAAAAGAGGTGCCTGCATCCTTCTTCCTGGGTCCCCTGATGCAGGAGGGGGCTTCTTTCTCCCTGCCCCACTGCCCCCACCCCTCATACACACATCTCTTCTTACATCACACTCCAAGAACCTGTGGCTTCAACCCTCAGTGAATGTGGTGCTAGAACACCGGGGCAGGACATACCCCTGTCGCCAAGCCGCTCAGTGCCAGCCAGCTCTCTGCTGCCGCCTGCTATCCTCCACTTTTGGACTTCTCTCTGCCATGATCTGAAATGACCTTTGTCATCCTGTCAGCAAGTCAATCAGCATTTATTAAGTGCTCGACACGTGCCAAGCACTGGGCAAAAAGAATCCCTTTCCTCAAGGGACTGCCAGTCTAATGGGGAGACAGCGTGTAGAAACAGGGTGACATTGGAAGTACTCGTGTGTGTGTGTGTGTGTGTGTGTGTGTGTGTGTGTGTGTGTGTGTGTGTGTAGGGGGTCTACAGCTCTTTTAGTTCCTAGCCTCAGGGGCTCTCTCAGCTCTTCTGTGAATTCCATCTATGCCACAAATAGCCATGAAGAGCCACAGAAACAGTAGACAGTGAGTCTATTTGACTGTGGTGAGAAAGTTCCTTTTCCCTCCTCTCCCTTTTCACCTTGCCAAGGTGGGCCAAGCAAAGCTCACCAGGAGCAGGGGTGCCCTTGCTCCGCGTGGATTGGGAGGAAGAAAGACAGCCAAACAAACACGAGCTGTACTTGCTCAGTGGCAATTTTTACGACCAAATGTAGGGGTTTAGGTGGGAGGCGGCCTCCGGCTGAGTCAATACTATGATAGAACCACCCCTCCCTGCCAATGCTGCTGGGGATCAATGAGATCCTGTCTGCAAAGCGCTTAGCACAGTGCCTGGCACACAGCGGTGCTTTATCCAGGCTAGCACGTGAGCTCAGCACCCAGCCCTGCTGCGGTTGGCTTACCATTGACTCTGCTGGGGTCCCTGGCTCTGGGGCAGCGTGTTGGATGCCATGTCTGGTGAGAGGAAGGAGGGGAGGTAATTCTGGAAGAACGTGCCTGTTGACTGGTGGGAGGAGGAAAGGGCAGTGCCTACCCTGTGCCATCATTTAGATCTCACAGGAAGACCAGACTTTAAAGACCCTCACAAAGGAGCAGGTCTGGGTGGTCAAAAACAGCCGCACTCCCAGGAAAAGGACTCCTCTTTCCCAGCTGTGCCCTCAGGGGCCTCAGGACTGCCTGAGGAGGCCCAGGCAAGAGCTGCCAAGCGAGGGAGGGGCAAGCATGAGAGTGTGTAGGGCCTGGCCATGGTGTGATTCCAGAACAGTGCTGGGTAGGCGGGAGTTACATCCCAAGACCTAGGCACAGCCCAGAGACCCAGGTTGTGAACAGAAAATGTGCTTGGGAATGACCCAGGAGAGACGTCCTTCCCCAAAGACAAAAGGAAGGCTCTTCTGCCTTTATGGTTGGCCCAGATTTGGACCGAAGTCCAGTCTTGCACAGAAACCCTGAATCCCTCTCTGAGTGCAGAGCCAGGAGTGCCAAGAGTCCCATGGCAGAGCTGTCCCAAAGGGCTCCTCCTCACTGCCGGCCGCTGCCCACCAGGGACAGCAGAGCAAGAATCCTCATTCCTGGGAAGGCTGAAGCTGGTGGGTGGGGAGGACTTGTCCACCTAGGGTCCTCAACTGGGCCGGTGGCACCTACTGCTGCTCCAGGAGTCCAGTGAAAGCCAGCGGACTGCTCCATGGAGCTGCGTTGGGCTCACGCCCAGGAAGGTGTGTTCTCTTGGCATCATACCAAAGCCCACCCACGGTTTTCCCCGCTCCCAGCTCCAGAGCCTGGCCAGACAGGTTTGTTCCTCTGCCACACTCTTTCCCCTCCACTATTGGAAGACACCCCCAAGACCCCCCAAGTCTTACTCCCGTACATCACTCTGGCACAGAGGCAGTCCTGGGCTCCCAATGGTTGTGCCAGTGAGCACAAGCCCTGCCCTCTTGGTTCTGCCCTCCAGGGCAGCTTCTGGATAGTGTTGGCAACAAACTCCCTCAGCCCGGTAGGCAGGTATGGACAGAGAGGCTCACTACTAGTAGTCTGGCCTGGATGGATGGATGCCTTGACTGTGGCAACCCAGAAACAGACTTTCCCATGAGGGACGGAGCCACCACCACTGGCCTGTCCCAGATCAGTCCCCAACATCCTGCCGATGGAAGGAGGACGGGCAGGGCAGCGGGACCGGAACTGGGGCCCGGAAAGGAGCCCATATTGGAGGTGACACAGTTTTCAGGGGACCAGAGGGGTAATTGTCTAGCCTCTGCTCCCACTCTCCTCTAAATCCACAGTGATCTCCCTTTTCTTCTCCTCGCCCTTCTTGGATTTCCCGTAGTGTTTGCTGTGGTCAACCATGCTCTCTCCTCCTGGCTACCCTCTCTTGGCTGTACCACAGCCAACAACGAGGAGGTCATGGGGTGGGAGGGATAACCAGGGAGAGCCGGACCACTCCACTGGTAACCAGGCAAACTCTAGGGATGTTTGGGTAGGCTCCCTGTGAAGGATGTGTGAAATTACATAGGATACTACTACTCCCACCACCACCACCACCACCACCACCACCACCACCACCACAGAGTGGGGGCGCCCTTTAGGCTTTTGCTGATTCCAATGACCACTCTTCACTTGGAGATCACTTAAGCCTTTTCCATGTCTCCCTGGATGCACACTCAGCAGTGCATTCTTGAACCTAGGTGCAGAATTTTACACGCCCAGGGCCAGGCTGTTGGAGTCGGTCTCTTCTATTACATTCCTACTACAATGTGCCATCTGGGCACGGAGGTGACCCTGGTTCTTGAAGGCCATGCAGTTGGAATGAGCCCAGGCTCTGACAGGCCTCACCACACTGGTTCGGAAAGCCCTATCACTGGAATGTTGGAAAACAGCAGACTACTTCCACCCATCCCCGTCAACTCATTAATTGCCTGCTAAGGCACAGAGGGGTCGTTATCTGCGTTAGGGGAGGGAGTGTTCCTACTAAAGAGATCCTGGAATGGTTAATTCCACATATATTATGCAAGGATGTCAAGGTCTTTGGGGGCATCCAGGCTATGAGATCTCCACTCCTACTTTGTGGCACCTTCAGATTTTATAAGCATGCTCTTAGTGTGCCCATCAGAGACACCACACAAAACATGGGGTCGAAGATAAGGGAAGCCATGGGTTGGTGCCACTGTCTTATCTTCTGTCCCTCACTTCCATTTTGCACTGAAATGAAGGCCCGTTCTATGGCCAGAGGGGTTCTCTCCTCGACCTGTCTGGTGATCACATCTACCCCATCACCAAGAGGGAGGAGGATAGTTACTCTTAGGGAGTCCGTGTTGGCTTCAGGGGTTCACTAATGCTTGCCTCTGAGGGCTGCAAAGCCATGCATTTAACCGCCGGTGCTGGAACGTTTGTAAGAGCACCTGGCATGTAGCTTGCAAGGACCTACCTTCTTCCCCTTTTTAAAATCAGGATGTCTGCCAGTCCCTAACTCTGGGGCATCTTCCCCAGTCTCTGGGATTCTGTAGAGGCCACAAGAAGTCGTTCATGCTCAAATCTTCAAGTGGTTTCAGGAATCCAGGGCATAATGCATCTGCAACAAAACTCTTAAACTAACTGAGAACAAGGAGGTGGGTGATCTCTTAATAGCTCATGTATTCATTTCAATTTTTTAATTTTTAATTTTTAGGCAATTGGGGTTAAGTGACTTGCCCAGGATCACACAGCTAGTAAATGTTAAGTGTTTGGTCTGAGGCCACATTTGAACTCAGGTCCTCCTGACTTCCAGGCAGATGCTCTATCCACTGCGCCACCTAGCTGCCCCCCCCATGTATTTATTGATATTCAAAAATTACTTTACCCTGATCAGGTTGCTGTGAAATTTGTTCATGGAAATGACAAATGCAAGGGTCATGGACAATATATCATTTATTTTAATGCAGTGAAAACACTTCATAGCCTTTGAAAAGGGCTATATTGAAAACATGTACTGTAGCCCGACTGTGAAATAAATATCGACTTCTAATTTAACTATTTCTCTGCCAAGAAAACAAAAGCAACCGTTTCACGTCGGAAGCGCTCCAGTGATGGTGAGGAAGGCCATGACATGAACAGCTGTGGTTCAAAACTCCCCGATCCCTAAAATTTCATGTTAAAAAATATATTGTGGGGCTGTGACATGGGCGATGGGCGAGTCGCATCTCCAGTGAAAGCTGTGAGCTGGTACTCTCTCCTCAGCTCGCGGTCCAGGTATCTCTGGCGAATGTCGTCACACAGCTTTTTGGCCTGTGGGGGTGAGACGGAAAGAAGACAAATGTCAGTCAGCCAAGAAGAAGCTGTCAAGTGGCAGCTGTGTGCCAGGCGCTTCGCTAAGTGCTGAGGATACAATGAGAGGCAAAAGGCAGGCCTTGCCCTCAAGGAGCTCCCATTCTGGCGGGGGAGGGGGCGCGGGGCACACGCGTAAACCCCTCTGTGCAGGCGAAGCATCGCTGGAGAGAAGAAGGCCTCCTGTAAGTGCTGGGATCTTATCTGGACCTAAGGGAAGCCAGCGTGGAGGAGGGAGAGTGGTCCAGGTGTGGGAGAGGGGCAGCCGGCAAGAATGCCCAGAGCCGAGAGATGGACACGGCCGGGAGGCCTGGGTCACTGGGGAGCAAGGTGTAAGAAGACTGGAAAGGCAGGAGGGGGCTGGTTATGAAGGGCCTTGAACATCAAACAGAGGGCTTCCTGTCTGGCCCCAGAAGTGACAGGAAGCCCCTGCAGTCTACTGAGTAAGGGGGTGATGTGGTCAGAGCTGAGTGGAAGATGGATGGAGGGGGGAGCGCCCTGGGGCAGGGAGACCCCCCTCAGCAGCTACGGCCATGGTGCAGACCGGAGCTGATGGGGGTCTGCGCCAGAGAATAGATGGTGCAAAGGGGAAGCTGATGGGCCTGGGAACAGACTGGATGGAGAGAGACGGGGAGGAGTCAAGGGTGGGAAGGTGGCGGTGCCCTTGACAGAGAAAAGGAAGTCAGCAGCTGCCGAGAGGCTGGTAGAGAGACGAACGGGATGTTGCATGTGCTAAGTTGTCCATGATTTTTCTAGGTCTAGGTGTTTAGTGGGCAGGTGGAGTCCAACAGAGAGATCTGAGAAGCATCGGCATAATAACTGACAGCAACTGAATCCGTGGGAGCTGATGAGCACAAAGCTCCAGTAGGGAAGAGGGCAAGAACCCTCGGGGATCCCAGTGGTTCATGGGCATGACCAGGAGAGCCAGGGATCCACGGCTGTCAGGAAGGAAGAGGACCGAGAAAAGGTCATTCGATTTGGCAATTAAGATACGAACAGTAACTCTGGGGCAGCTAGGTGGTGCTGTGGATAGCTGCTGGGCCTGGAGTCAGGAAGACTCATCTTCCCTTAGACATTTACTAGCTGTGTGGCCCTGGGCAAATCACTTCACCCCGTTTGATTCAGTGTCCTCATCTGTAAAATGAGCTGCAGAAGGAAATGGCAGACCCCTCCAGTGCCTTTGCCAAGAAAACCCCAAATGGGGTCATAAAAAGCCAGATACGACTGAAACAAATGAACACACACACACACACATACTCCTACATATTCCAATCAGGTGGCCACTAGGTGGCACAATGGAGCGAGCTTTGGACCTGGAGTCATGAAGACCTGAATTCAAATTCTATGTTCACCTGCCCATTAGTTGTGTGACTCTGAGCAATCACTTAGCCTTTGCCTGCCTCAGTGTCCTCATCTGTAAAAGGAGCTGGAGAAGGAAATGGCAGACCCCTCCAGTGTCTTTGCCAAGAAAACCCCAGATGGGGTCATATGGAGTCAGAAATGACTGAAAAACAGCAACGAGTGACTGAGAGAGAAGTTTCAGCTGAGGGATGACACAGCATTCACATGTCAGTCAAACAAAGACAAGAATCACAGGCTCGAGCTCATGGGCTTTCCACTAACGATGGCTGTGCCCACACTGTGGAAAACCCGGACGTCAGCCTGCAGCTGGGGTCTGGGCAGTCGGGTGCCAACGGTTATTCCTCCAAGGTACCCCTTCCCCTTCATGCCCGTGACCACTGCTTTAGCTCAGGCCTCCTCCCCTCAGAACTAATCTCTGGCCACCTCTCTCTGAACCCAGGAGACATGGCTCCATTAACCTGACATTCGTTTTCATTAACTGGTATGTTCACCAGGCAGATCCCACATGCCAGGCCTCCAAGGGTGTTTCACTGCCCATGGGATGCGGCTACTCTGACAGGCCGTTCTTTCTGTGGGAAGCAGCCGACGTGGAGGAGGTCTCCAGCATGCCTCTCCCTCTCGTTCGCTACTCTAGGCCTTCAAAGAATGGCCTCTCTCTCGGGGAGCTAAGTTCCCTTTCTCCCACTGGAGGAACTCTGTATTGTTCAGTAAAGATTTGCCTATGCACTCTCTGATTTCTGTTTGGTTCATCTGCTATTCACTATGTGTACTGACTGTGGAACTGGCATCTGGTGCAGAGACGCGAGGCTCAGATACCTAGTTTGGAGCCCTCCTTTCCCATTACCAAATAGTGATCAGGGACGGAGCTCGCACCCAGAATTCCCCCCGCCCTAGACAAGAATATTTAAGGGAGCAGATAGACAGGATTCCAGCCTCTCCCTGAGGAGAAGAGAGTGGGCAGCCTCGGGGCCCAACCTCCTGCTTCCTTCCTACCAGGAGAAGGAAGAGGCACCCTGCCTCTTCCCCCTTGCATCTAGAAAGGCTTCTGCACCAATGCCTTATGAGTCGGCGTGGGACCTCATCAGGGCTTGGGGAACTGTGCAGAGACACTGTCTGCCCAGCCGTCACTCTCGGGGGAAAAAGGCTGGGTGGCGTGAGCCAAAGTGCAGAGAGCAGAGTGGCTCCTGGGAGAGCCAAATGATACGCACAATGCCAAAGTCGTGGGCAGCTTTCAGGATCTCCTCCTGAGGCGTCCCTTTGGATTTCTTCCTTTCACGTAAGGCCTCCATGTGAAGCTTGATACGCTCTTCTATCTCCTTGTCTTTGGAGGCTCTGAGAAGACACAAGGTTAAGGCCACCTTTAGCTGCGCCCATTCTCTTGGGAAACATCCTGATGGATAGGAAGCACCAGAAACAAACAATAAAAAAGCACAGTATGCATGTTTCTGACTGTGTAACAAGGGTGATCTAATGAACTTGGGCCCCTGGCACACATGTTTTGCCTCCTTGGAGAGGGGTGATGGGACCAAGGCAGGGCACAGACTGACCGCTGACTCTGAAATCCTGCACCTGAGGGCCGGGTTCCTCAGTGTACAGCCACAGAGCACGGGGCGTTAAAGATGGACAGGGAAGGGGTCAAGGTGCAGCCAGACACTGGCAGTAGTACCAGAGATCCACCCTGCTCCCTGCCTCCAGATCCAACCCTGGGCCCAGCTCCTCGTCCGTTGGCATGGACGGACTGCCCATGCAACTCATGACATGCCCTTGTAGACCGGACGAACCCAAGGGGGTTTTCTGGGTTTGTTCCTGGGTGGTCTCTCTGCAAGGAGAAGCACCAGCCTGGCAGAACCCCAAGATTTTGGGCAACCAGCACACTGCCCCTGCCCACCACCTGTAAAGGAAGGCTCACGTCTGGCCTAACGAGTCCCAATTCCTTGGGCAGGGGAAGAGCCACGCAGGCAGCATGCAGCTCTACCAGGTCATGTTTTGTTTTGCGCCTCTAGTCAGCGAGTCTCCCTTGCACTTCTCAGTCAGTTAGGTGATGATGGAAAGTGACTTTCTGCAGAGAAGCGGCTGTGCTCCACCCGGGAAGGCCAGCCTCCCTGTCTTGGGATGGAAAGGAAGCCTCTGGGTTGGTATTTAGGGTAACAACATCAGCAGTGGAGTCTCCCCAAATGTTACAAAGCACAGTGACAAGGGCAGATTCCTGGCGCTCTCCAAGCTGGTGGTGACTCCCTTTTGGGGCCTCTTTAGAGTCTGGATCCTGGAGGTCATGTCATGGTGTGCGTGTAGGGGAGACTCTTAATTAAACCCAGGAACATTTACTGAGCACCACTGCGGTGTGCCCTGTGCTAAGTGCTGGGGGAGGCAGGAAGCTTGGCTAAAGCTTATGCATGGCTTTACATGCAGTAGGTGCTTAATTTGTGCTGAACTGAATGAAGAAGGCTAGAAAAGTGTTTTCTATTTAAAAATACCCAAACACCAATCCTGACTCCAAGCGGCCGCCTCCTTTTACATTTCCATTCTGAGAGGCTGGAGAACTGCCCGGACAAGTGACCGACCTGAGCTCGTCCTGCTCTTGCGTCAGCTTTAACCGCATCAATCTCTTTTTTTCGAGGGAATGGAATTCCTTGTTCTCCTCCACTGGGTCGGTTGCAAACGGTGCTTTTTTTAATACCTGCAAAATTCAACAATCAGCAACTCAGCCATCCGTGAACAAGCCGTTGCTGGAGACCGAGCTCATTCTCCGTTGTTCTGGAGAGTGGAGCCGCCTTCTCCAGAGGCAGCGACCAGCTTTGAACTGCAGAAGTATTTTCCTAGACTTGCTGCTTGTTTCCAGTGCTTGGTTTTAACAAAGCCTGTCCTCACAAGTAACAATGCTTTTACCTCTAGACGGGTAAAAGTGAGCTCAGGGTTTCTTCTGAACACCAATCTCCCCAGGCCTCAGTTTCCCTATCTGAAAAAGGACAGGTAGGGGGGATTTGCTGGGCACTAAGGTCCTTTTGATTTCTAAATTTGAGGTTAGCGCTACAGTAGATAGAGCACCCGACTTTGAATCAGGAAGACGAATTTAAATGTGGCCTCGGACACTTGTCAACTGTGTGACCCTGGGCAAGTCACTTAACCCTGCTTGCCTCAGTTTCCTCAGCTGTAAAATGGGGATTATGACAGCCCCTACCTCCCAAGGTTGCTATGAGGATCAGACGAGATAATGACTGTGATGTGCTTAGTTACTGTAGTGCCTGGCACACAGTAAGCATTCTGTAAAGGTTCGCCATCATTACCATTATTGTGGTTAAGGCTAGAATCCCTGTGATAATACGAAACCTAAGAGGTCAGTCTGAAGGGACAATTCCTGCCATTTAATGATTCCAAGAAAGAACAAGAAACAAACAACCCCAACCGGCTGTGAAACAGGAATTTTCTTTTCCCTACATTTAATTTAGTTTTTGATAATATTTGATTCCCCCCAATTACATGTAAAAACAATTTTTAACATTCTTTTTCTTTTTGAGTTCTAATTCTATGTTTCCTCCTTCCCCTACTCATCCCCTTGAGATGGTAAGCAATCCAATATAGGTTACGCCTGTGCATTCATGTAAAACATTTCCATGTTAACATGTCATTTTGTGGAAGAAAACTCAAAATAAAAAAGAGAGAAAGAAAGAAGAAAGAAAGAAAGAAAGAAAGAAAGAAAGAAAGAAAGAAAGAAAGAAAGAAAGAAAAGAAAGAAAGAAAGAAAGAAAGAGAAAAAAGAAAGAAAGAAAGAAAGAAAGAAAGAAAGAAAGAAAGAAAGAAAGAGAAAGAGAGTATGCTTCAGTCTGTAAGGATGTCATCAACTCTTTCTAGAGGCAGAGAGCATTATCATCATGAGACCTTTGGAATTTTCTTGGATCACTGTATTGCTGAGAACAGAAAGTCATTCACAATTGATCATTGCACAGGATTGCTGTTACTGTCATAAGACCACTGTGTACAACGTTCTCCTGGTTCTGCTCACTTCAATCTGCATCAGTCCATACAAGTCTTCCCAGGGTTTTCTGAAAGCATCCTGATCATCATTTCTTACAGCACAATAGTACTCCATCACAATCATATACCACAGCTTGTCCAGCCATTCCCCAATTGATGGACATCCCCTCAATTTCCAATTCTTGGCCACCACAAAGAGAGCTGCTATCAATATTTTTGTACAAATAGGTTCTCCCCCCTGCCTTATTTTAATCTCTTTGGGATACAGACCTAGTACACAGAGTTTTATAGACCTTTGGGCAGAGTTCCAAATTGCTCTCCAGAATGGCTGTATGGATTCACAACTCCACCAACAATGCATTAGTATTCCAGTTTTCCCACATCTTCTCCAACATTTATCATTTTCCTTTTCTGTCATATTAGCCAATCAGATAGATGTGATTGGTACTCAGGGTTGTTTTAATTTGCATTTCTCTATTCAGTAGTGATTTAGAGCATTTTTTTGGGGGAGGGCTAGGCTATTGGGGTTAAGTGACTTGCCCAGGGTCACACAGCTAGTGTTTGAGACCGGATTTGAACTCAGGTCCTCCTGACTCCAGGACTGGTGCTCTATTCACTGTGCCACCTACCTGTTCCTAGAATATTTTTTTCATATAACTATAGATAGCTTTGATTTCTTCATTCATAAACTGCCTGTTTATATCTTCTGATCACTTATCAAGTGGGAAATGACTTGTATTCTTACCAATTTGACTCAGTTCTCTATATATTTGAAAGGCCTTTATACTTTTAATAAAACTTCTCTTCTCCCCCAGTATTTTGCTTTTCTTCTAATTTTGGTTGTGTTGTGCAAACACTTTTAAATTGTATACAATCAAAATTATCCATTTTACATTTTGTAATGTTCTATCTTGTTTGGTCTTAAATTCTTCCCTTCTCCATAGATCTGATGGGTAAAATATTCCATGCTCCCTTAATTTGCTTAGGGTATCACCCTTTATGTCTAAATCATGTACCCATTTTGACCTAATGGTACATGGTGTGAGATGCCATGTTTCCACTTTTCCCAGCAGTTTTTGTCAAATAATGAGTTTTCACCCCAAAAGCTTGGATCTTCAGGGTTATCAAACATTAAATTAGTATGGCTCTTTGCTACAAAGTATTGTGTGCTTCATCTGTTTCACTGATCCAACGCTATTTCTTAGCCAGTTCACCAAGTAGTTTTGACGACTGCTGCTTTATAATACAGTTTTGAGATGTGGTACGGCTAGGTCACCTTCCTTTACATTTTTTCTCATTGATTTCCTTGATATTTTGGACCTTTCATTCTTCCAGATGAATTTGTTATTTTTTTCCTACCTTTAAAAAATAATTTTTGGTAGTTTTGAGTGATATGGCACTGAACACGTAGAATTGTGATTTCATTATATTAGCTCAGCCTACCCATGAGCAATGAATGTTTTTTCAGTTCTTGAGATCTGACTTTATTTGTGTGAAAAGTGTTTTGTAATTGTTCATCTAGTTCCTGGGTTTGTCTTGGCAGGTAGATTCCCAAGTATTTTATATTGTCTATGATTATTTTAAATGGAATTTCTCTTTCTATCTCTTCCTGCTGGATTTGTTGGTAATATTAAAAAACGCTGATGATTTATATGGGTTTATTTTATATGTCGCAACTTTGCTAAAGTTAATTATTCTTACTTGATTCTCTAAGGACACCATCATTTCATCTGCAAAGAGTGACAGCTCTTTTTCCTCACTGCCTAATTCCTTCAATTTCTTTTTCTTCTCTTATTGCTAGAGCTAGCAAGAAATAGGAATTTTCAGATTAAACATTTATGAGCTCTTGCAATTAAACACTCACATTTGTTGTTGAAGACAGCTAAAAATAACCCATCAGATTTCTCTGAATGATACCCCATCAGCACCAGCTTGAGAACTCTACAAGGAGGAGACCAGAGCCTGAAGGATTGGGGAGGGCTCTGTCGTTGCTTCACTTATTCAACATTTTTAACGTACAACTCTAGACACGGTTCAGGAATACAGCCACGAAGCCAAAAGCCAGCAAACACAGAGATCACCAGACTCCCGTGGGTTTTCGTTGTTAGTGATGTCCACTTTGCCACAGAGAGGATGGAATTTCATCACAGGATGGACCTACAGCCTTTTCGCGACAGGGGCCTGAGGCCCAAAGAAGGCCTGGCCTGAAGCCCCCCAGCTTACTGGCACGCCCTGTACCCTCTAGGAGTGGGGTGGGGTTTGAGCTGGAACGGAACCCAGCAGGAAAATGACCAGGTCAGTCTGGCTGTTGAAGGGCTTTCTTCAACGCTGGTGCAGTAACTTGATTCTGACATTCCAGGGCATAATTGCCCAGTGGTGACCCCACAAAAATCCTTGACTATTCCAAGAGAGATCAGACAACTTCTTTTAGTTAGAAAAGGAAGCATTAGCCAGTGTGCCTGCTTGTCTTAGGAAAACCATGAGAAAAAGTCCATGGGAGTTCATGGGCCCTACAATAAGTGTACATTCAAGGTAGGTCAGTCCATGTTTCTCTGTTAACTGGCCCAATGCCCATTAAAGTTCAACCTTGGCTTTCAGAGGCTTTGTCAGTGACACAAGCCACGTGACCCAGAAACGTCCCCCTGCAGAAGGTGGGATCTGAGAACTGAGGGGAGTCAGGGAAACTAGGAGGAGGAGGAGCAGAGGAGGAAGAGCCTTCCAGGCATGGGGGATGGCCAGAGAGAACTCCCAGAACCATGAGACGGAGGGTCTCGTGCATGGAGCAGCCAGGAGGCTGGTGCAGCTGGACGGAAGAAAGCAAGGTGTAAGAAGCCTGGGAATGGAGGAGGGGGCCAGGCCACAACAGGCTTGGGATGCCAAGCAGAACACTCTGCATTTGTACTTGGAGGCAAAGGGGAGCCCCTGGAATTCACTGAATGTGTGTGTGTGTGTGTGTGTGTGTGTGTGTGTGTGCAACGTGATCACACCTTCATGTGGGGAAGATTACTTGGGCAGCTGAGTGAAGGATGGACTGGAATGGGGAGGTGAGGCAGGCAGGACAAGCAGAAGGTGAATCCTAACTCCAGGAGGAGTCCCAAGGTCTGGACAGCTGCATGGTCAGCTCCTTGCTTGGTCTCCTGGCCGCATCAGGCCCCTGGTCTGCGTAACCGCCTCCCTCTTCTCCACCTTGTCTTGTCCTGAGATGGGAGAGTCAATCCCTTTAACCCCGCTGGTGTCTGAGACCCCCTCCCGAGTGTTCCCCAAGTCTGGCCCAATCTTTCTGGGGCTGGGGACAAACGCATGCACGATGTTCATCGGCCCCTTCCGGTTCCCCTCGTGCCCCTGGCAGCCAGGGCTAGGGCCACACAAACTGGCTTGAAGCGTCATTACATTTCATGGAAATTGACTCGAGCAGCTAGCAGCCTTACGCGTGGCAACCGCGTCCATCTGCTCATCACACTTCCGAGCACAAGCTCCAGCTCTACCTGAGGGATGTTTCTACTCTCAGGGTTGATTTCATCTCAGCACTCACTGTCCGCCCCCAGCAAACTCTCCTTCTAGACTTCCCTGTTTCAGTGCTTGGAATCACAGAATTTAAGATTTGCCATGTGGTCCACTTCATTAAAGAAAGGCTCCCCAGTGTCACATGCCCATCCAATGGTCATTCAGCTTCTGCTGGGAGTCCTGTAAGGCGGGGGAACTCAC